TATATATATATATATATATATATATTAGTGGTTGACCGATATTGTTTTTTTTGACTGCCGATATCTTGGAAAGCAGGGTGGCCGATATAAAGCCGATATAATTTTATTTATTTTAAATAATATTTAAGAAATTTGAAATCATTTGAAAATTGATTAAAAAATAAATGTGTTAAATAAACTTATTTATACTTTAGATGACAAAGTATTTTTCACAAATAAATAAATATTTAATAAAAATATAATTAAAAAGGAAGTAAACACTGTAACCAACTGTAAGGGGACTCAGTATTCTGGGAAGTTTGTGTGCATTATTCATATTTTTTCAAATAAAGCCAAGGTAACACTCATTTTACATACAGCACACAGTGAAAATGGCATGAATATGACATTGGGCAAACGCATAAAATGCAGCATAATTTAAAATCACGAGTTTAAAGTTTGTCGATCGCACGTCTCAGTGAAGCTGAACTCTCCTCCTGTCCGCATTCAATTCACACGGACCAACCGTCACGCAGAGAACGCACGCGATCATGCAGGTCACATGCACACTTCACAAGATCTCAAAACTGGATCTGACTAAGTTTGCAAGGTTTCTGAAATTAGATGTTTATTAGACATTCAAAGATTTGTTTAAATGATATAAATGCGTATTTGCTGAATGCTGACAGCAAACAAGAAAGTATTATAATGTTTGCCTTTCTATTACAAATAATATAAAAGCAATCATTATAAGCCTTTTTGTATACAATAATTCCTTTGTTTAACCGTTCTGATTATTAGACAGACTTCTATCCGTATTTAGACAGAACTGTTAACGACAACAGCGAACAAGAGGGAGAATGTGAGCACTGTGTGCTCAGGCGCTGCCATTCTCAGCACCGTCAAAATAAAAGTCCGTCGCACCGTCAAAATAGTCCCACCTTGATGCGTATCAGCCAAACAGGAAAACTTATCGGCCGATGCCGATAATTTAAAAATGCCAAATATCGGCCGATATATCGGTCAACCACTAATATATATGAAAACACAAGTAGATGTGAGATATGACTGTACAGTGCATGCATAATTATGCAAGTTGATATTCTGATCATATTTTTTTCTCTAAGCACATTTGACAAATTCCAAACCACATCAATCTTAATAAATACTAATAATTTTGTATTCAATCATTTATAAGTGACACATAATTGTCCATGAAGGCTGGAAGTGAAAAACTCCTTATAATCAGGTGTGCATAATTATCAAGCAGGTTTTCTTAAACAGATAAAATGAGCCAAAAAATAGATTTAACTCAGACTGAAAAGTCAAAAATTATTAAAATTAAAAATGATTAAATTATTAAATGCCAATGAGAAATTCAAAACGAACGCAATACAGAAATTGCAAAGTTAAGGAATCGCCTTTTATTTATGAAAAAATAAAAATGATTATTTATATATAAATATCATAATATGAAATCTGAAATTAATAGTACAAGCCATATCTATGCTAGCAAACACCACTAACAATAGGTAGGCCAAATGTAGGCTGAATTCTTGTGTAAAAACTGTCATCTGAGCTCATTTCCAAGTAAATAAAAATCAGCTCTGCACACAGAGAAGGATCCATTAAACAGCAACAATACAGACTAACTAAAGTTGAAAAAGTGAAAAAGCATAATAGGACCCCTTTAAGAGCCTCATTAAGAGGAGAGTCTCGTTAAGCAGTTTAATATATTCATTAATACACATGGTGTTTTTAATGAGTCAGAGATGATTAAAAGCTTACAATGTTTCAATTACAGCAGCCACAGAAAAGCTGCAAGGCACTGCACACACCAGTGCATCATGTAGTGCTATTCAAGAGCGAAGTCGCAGAAGCTGCAGCCACACGGTAAAAAAAAAAAGTGCATATATTGTAGATGAGTTTGCAGCTTTTGAATTGTCTGATGAGAAAGAAAAACATAATGTGGTGGTGTTCTCACTGACTGCATGCAACCATGAACAAAGCATAATGCGCTACCCGATTCATGAAAGATTCGCTCAAATGAGGCAGTTCATATTAATGAATTAGTTTAATCGTTTAGCAGAGGTCTAAATCAGTCAAACACTTGAAGGAGTACTTCAGCCAAAAACGAAAACTAGCTGAAAAATGTACTCACCCTCAGGCCATCCAAGATGTAGATGAGTTTGTTTCTTCATGGGAACAGATTTGGAGAAATTTCACAAATGAATCCTCTGCAGTGAATGGGTGCCGTCAGAATGAGAGTCCAAACAGCTGATAAAAAACATCACAATAATCCACACCACTCAAGTCCATCATTTAAAATCTTGTGAAGCGAAAACTTAAAACCGTTGCTTCTGTTCTCTATCCATAATATTGCTTTCTGAATTAGGAGAGAAATATGCACAGTTCAAGCACTATATAAAAATTGGTGAAAACAGTCCAAAAGTGTTCTGAACAAACATGCCGGTGGATTTTCATGTGGAATTTTTCACTGAAGAAATTATTATGGTTTATGGGCTTGTATTTTAGCCAGAAGCAATGGGTTAAAGTAAAAACGCCTTAATGTTGGATTTGTTTCTTACAAACATGCAGCTTTTCCCTTTACAAGCTGTTATCTGATGGATTGGAGTGGTGTGGATTATTGTGATGTTTTTTATCAGCTGTTTGGACTCTCATTCTGACGGCACCCATTCACTGTAGAGGATCTATTGGTGAACAAGTGATGTAATGATAAATGTTCTAATGATGAAACATACTCGCCTACATCTTGGATGGCCTGAGGGTGAGTATATTTTTAGCTAATTTTAATTTTTTGGCTAAACAATTCCTTTAAATCTACTCAAGATTACTCACTCACTGGACCGCAGGTTATTATACGTTACTGTACATCCAAACAGCATCCTAACCGATTTTCCTAACCCTAGGAGGAAAATGCGGCAGAGTTATCGGCGTCAAATATCGGCAGGAGTCCTGTCTCCGAGATAAATCCCGGCGGGATAATGACTCAGATGCGAGCTGTCACGGGAACAGTCAGATCCATAAGTGTATTAGCAGAGCAGTGGGAATTGTCATTAGACTGATGACTTACAATACCACCTCCAGTTTAACAAAACAAGACAAAAAATAACTAGCACAGCCAGCAGGACTGATGTTAACTGCGCAATTATGTTTAAATGCTCCCTTTATTTCATTACCTACAGTTAGTGTCTAAAATTTAAATGACCGAGGGGGGTTAAATATACTCCTTTAGTTCTGTAGGGATCTAAAAGTTCTCGCTGAAATTGCAAACAGTCAGGTGAGGAATGAACAAGCCCGCATGGAATCGGCAGAATCGGAAAGCCCATCATTTACATCATTCTGCATGTCTCAGAACTAGTGATGTGATGCGACAAAACTAGAAAACTTTCGTTGTCATCAACAAAGCTGTCCAGACTTCACGCATGCGAATCGGGAAGCATTACAGCTTTGTCACGTCATCTCGCAGACGACACTCCGTAAGATGACGGCCATACTAACCACAGCGACAGGACCCCAGCTCCTGTTGTACGAGCTCCAGTTTGGTTTGGCAGCGATGGCATCGCCGACGGTTCTTCTGCTTGGGAACTCGTGGAGAATCTTCAGAACATGAGGCCTCTCCCACACGAACACGCTTCTCCGGAGACGACTCGCTCTCCGAACCTGAGGCTGAAAACACAAACACGCACTTTTCAATGCTTTTGCAGTTGCAAGTGCATCGCTGTTTGAGGTTTGAAGGATGTAGGCCTTGCTAGGTGCATGCCAAGTCGGATGCTAAGGTGTTGCCACTCAGTAAGCAAGACCTTATATGAGTTTATGAATATATAAGTTAATATGAGTTTTTCAGGTCTATTTAATGTAATCACTTTGGGATGTTTGATCGGCCGCCTCTAAAAAGGCAGATCTCAAAAAACCTGATGACGTGCCTGGCTTGAGAGATTTGGCGTGACATGCAGCGGCTCTCTGTCCGGCGCGGGTGAAATAATTATAATGCTGAAGGTGAGGTACAATTCATATTTCTTCATTAATTAACTTCTAAAGTAATTTGAAAACTTTCTGTAAGACATAATTTCACAAACAGCGCGAGTGAATGACTGCGCACGCTCTCACTTTCAAAATGCGCAAATGGCTTCAAATCACATTGCATCTGCACTATAAGACAGCTGCATATATATTTTTGAACAATCTCTAAAAAATGCTCCCCTCCACCCCTCAAATAAAAAATAAAAAAACCCTCTCACAAGAGTCACCTATAAGAGGGAAATCCCCCCCCATTTTCAAAAATGAAATACAGGCCCTGAATAAATGTCTAAAAATCCTGATTGGAGTATTACTATAAATAATTCTACATGATAAAAATAAGGCTTTAAAAAGATCGGTGATCGTATCGGCAGATACTGCTTCCTGTAATCGGCCTCAAAAATCCTGATCCGAGCACCCCTAACTGTTTGGTTACCATTTCCATTTAACATGTTTTTAATTGTTCTTTTTCCCTCAGCAGAAGAAAGAAACTGATAGAGGTTTGGAAGATTATCACTTTAAGTAATAAATGATGCACAAATTAATTAAACACTACATAATATTCACTGTATGAATTAAATACATGATTCTTGTTAAAGCTACAGGAGCTATTCAGTCAAGAGCAGTGAGTCATTCTCTCTTTTATATTTGTTGCATGATTAGCATTAACAACACAGACAGCAGCAGGTAAATCAGGCTGCTGTCCCTTTAAGATGTAATATACTGATACACATCAAATTTGACATATCCAACCATGTTTATGTGAATACTGACAAAGACGGGCATTTTGACAATTTTGTTTGTATTTAACCGTTTAAACACAAAAGAGAACTAAATTTGTGATCGCATGCTGTCTGAGAGATGGCTTTCTGTGTGTGTGTGTGTGTGTGTGTGTGTGTGTATATATATATATATATATATATACATACATACATACACACACATACCATATCACAGATCCACCCAGTCTTATGAAATGGGTATAATGTGGAGCCACTGCAAAGGGATGTCAGAGTCGGCAGAAAGTTTGCAAATACACTAGACAGCAGCATGGTTTGACCAGAGCTTCAACTCTATTGATTTAGCTCCCTCTGACCTTGGTTAGTCAGTGTAAACCAGAGCTTTCAGTGGTTTTACAACTTTAAAACTGTTCTTTCTTGTGGGTGGAGAGGTGGTAAGGAATGTGTAAAGTAATGATGCATCACATTTCTACATTGACTCCAAAAAAATATATCTTGACAAATGGATTTTTAAATTAACTGAATTATGTTCTCTAAAAAAAATAGTAGGACAAATGGTACAACAAAACATTCCAGATGAAGATAACTTTTGTGCAGTTTGTAACACCTGATTACCTTCAAACAGCTGCTTTGAGTCTTTATAACCACATTTGTATGCTGCTGTACATTTACAACTCAGTTCCTCAGCGGTGTGATGTGCTAGACTATTAAAAGCTGTCAGACACACACATACACAAGAGCGGTGGTGAGGTGTACCTGAGTCGCAGGGTCGTTTTGTAGGAGCGGATAGCGTGCCGCGAGCTGTGTCTGTACTGGAGACTTCTGGGAGAGAGAGAATGATAGAATATTTAAATTTGTGCATTTGGCAAACGCATTTATCCGAAGCGACGTACATTGCATTTATCAGTTCATGCATTCCCTGGAAATCAAACCCATGACCTTGGCGTTGCTATTTTGGAGCGTTTTACCCACCGTTTGAGAACCCACTAGTCTACATCTCTAAGGTTTCAGACTTTCTGGTTGTCCTCAACTCATATTTTAGCATTTGACATTCCCAAAAGTTAATAAACAAACACGTTATAATACGCTCGTGGATCTTTTTCATCTGCAGTATTAGGTGTCAGTGGTCTATCATTCTCTATGACTGCTGTGTGATATTAAAATGATTAGAGCCCATCTGAGACTAGATGCGATGAGCGCTGAAATATAATCTCCTTTATTAGAAGACAGAATATGTGTGTCCTCACCGTCCTGTGCAGGAAGAGGCGTGGCTTCTGTCGAGGGCTCTTCAGAGCTGGCTGGCTTTGAGGACAGGGTTTGGCTACTGCTGCTGCTCGTCTCGTTACAGAAGACTGCTGATTGGCTATTGCTTGAGCTGGGGGCGGGCTCTGGAGTGCAGTCCTCATCTGGCTGTTTCTTTTGTATGTCTGATGGAGACAAACAGAAAGCGTGAGTCTCTCAGACACACTGAATCAAGTATAATCGTAATTATATAGACCATGTGATGAAAGTATCTTACCAGCAAAACATTTGGAGCAAAGGTTCATGGTTTTGCTGGACCTGGAAAGAGAAAAGAAGACAAAAGGAAATATTCTTTTTAATATCTGTATAGAGGAAATGTACATCTCTTTGACCATCATAACACCAAACCATCTTAACACCAAAATATTAGTAGTTGAATCCAATACTAATGATGTTTCACGATTCTTGATACAGATTTTAATACCACAGCAAAACCTAATGTGCTGTGGAATTCCTTTATTTAGAAAACTAACATATTTAAGTGAATTGGATTCAGAAATATTGATTCTGAACCGATTCATTTGACTCACAGAAAAGACCTCAAAAAGTCGCGAAAGAACAATAAGCTCACACAACAAACAACACTATGGCATGCGGTCAAGTTTTACTCTACACAAGAGCAATCCCTATTTAATGAGATATTTTAGTGGGGACATTTGAAAAACAAATCTAAATTGTTTGCAGTGTGAACAAAGCCTCAGACGCCTCTTTAGTGGAGAGCTCTTCACTGTTCTTTACCTGCAGGCTGAGGGTGGTGACATATCATGTTTATTTACACACACGCAAACAGCTATTGCACTTCCTGCATGTGCCTCAAAAGTCTCTCTCAGAATGACACAGGTGAGCAATGAAAACAACATCAACAGACCTTCTTCAGCACAATCAAGAGCAATCATAATCAGTGCCCAATCAAGGAGGTGGAAGGAAGCATGGGGAGAGAGCAGGACATTGTGGGTAGGAATAATGCATATTAAGAAGATGAGCATGAAGAGCACATCACTACATGAACACACCGAAGGAGTAGCCATGCGTGTATGAGCAATAAAAATGTGTTATTGACAGTGCTGCTGATTGAGTAACATATATGATGGTTGTCCTTAAAATAAGCTGAAATGGTTAAATCTGTCAAAACACAACAGGTGCCTCCTGAGCAGTATGACTGGCTGATCCATGCTATAATGCCCACCTACATTTAGTCATTTTGCCGACGCTTTTATCCAAAGCGTACACCTACTGAAACTCATCCACAAATCAGCTCAAATAGATCACACTTGTGGAAGAATCAAGTAATTACAGAATAAACAACTAAACCAATTCAACTCGTCACCACCACTTTCGGTCAAATCCAAAATGTAACGAACATAAGAACCAGTGAATGGGTTCATTTTGAGCAGCCATTTGGAATGATTAAATAAAGCAACACTCCATACTTGCGACTTTCATTACCCTTGCAATGTTTACCAAGGATTTGCTGGCTAATGATCTAAAAAGAAGGTGATTATCAGTAATTAAAGCTATATAATGAAAGCTAGTAGTAACAAAAAAGATACTTGCTACTAAATTATGTAGCTATTGAGTAAATGATTGCATAAAAAGCAAGTAAAAAAGTTTTTTTAAATAGATAAAAAAGTATCTTATGTTAGCAAAATTAATTGTAAAATTTGTAAATGATAGCATAAAAGTAGGGGTGCTCCAATCATGATTTTTGAGGGCGATCACCGATCGCCGATCACAGAAAGCATTATCTGTCGATACCGATCACCGATACCAATCTTTTTAAAGCCTTCTTTTTATAATTTATAACTATTTATAGTGATACTTCAATCAGGATTTTTAGACATTTCACAAATCTTTCACGGACATGTTTAAACACAATAAATATAAGCAATAGGGATATGCGGGTCTAGTCGACTAAACGGTACAGCTCCTACTAGTCGAAACTGAAAACAATAGTCGATTACACGACAGAAAAAAAAAGGAAATAAAAACCTTGATTTTATCATTCAAATTACCGTCATTTTAACATTGCATTTAAAACATTTTAAATAACAAGTTAAAATAAAACGTTTGAAAAATAATACATTATTTGTAAAAGTTTATCTGGGCGGAAACAACATTTTTACCTCAGACCTCACATGCGTTTTCTTCGTGTCAGTTGCGGCGAGTTCAAAAATGACCATGCGAAAGACGAGA